GGATTCATATGATTTAGTAAATTTAAGAAGACAGTACCATATGAAGGCAACAACGATTAGCAGTTTCAGCAGCAATGTGACCCAAGCAAGTGATCACACATAAAAGAAAGCCTTGTCCAAAAAAACTGTACATGAACCTGAAATTTAAGCAACACAAAAGATGTAAGCTACATACCACAAGGCATCCCCATTGTCTTCCCATCAACCAATTGCCACAGAACCCAAATCTCAACCATATTAACTGTAATACTCCTTACAAGTTTGCTTAAATTCATAGATTCATCTTAACCTATTACCCTTTATTTTATTGAGTAAAGAAAATAAACGTTTAGAAGGTATTCTACAAAACAAAGAAATCATTATGCAGAAAGAATAAAGAATATGAAGATAATTCTAAATTTTGAAGCAATGAACACTCAGATTTGAAGGTAATGAATTTCTCTCTCTTTTTTCTTATGAGGGAAGTATGGAATTCGAAAACCCACTCTAATTCATTATTATTTGAGATTATGCTCCCTAATGAATGACTTTTCTCCCCAGACACAGGCCCATTTAAAGAGAAATTACTAAGAGCAAGCAGAAATTAGAAGGAAAAAAAAAACTCCTCAGACTTTCAAACTTTCTCAAGCTCCCTCTTAACCACAAACAAAAGAATCAGCAGCTTTCTTGCCCGGAATTTTGTCGGGACAAAAAACTTTAGGAGGAGATACAGAAATCATCAAACTATAATTTCATAATGCTCTTCACTGTTCGAAGTGAAGTTATCTTCTAGGAGAAGCGCTTCCTGTCCCTCCAAAATCATATGAAGAAACAAAAATAGACCAATAAAATGGAAGGAAATCGGAAATGATATAATCTGCAAAACAGGTAGAAAGCAATACCATGGAACTGGGGCATCGGGTCCTTCAAAGGGCAAATGACCCATCTGTCTCTGCCAAGCCCTCATCAACCAAACTCCATACAGAATCATGGCGAATCCCATCATCCCATTTCCAGAATTCACGAACTTCAACAAAGATTGCATGCAGACTCTTAGCATTCCTTACCGTTTGTACCCAACAACACAATTGCAAACAATTGAAGTTTTTGGAAAATGAGAAAACAATTAGCCAAGAAGCCCAATAAACGTAATGTTCCAACCGCTAGAAAGATCCGGTGCGCGCCAAGATTTTTGCGCGTTTTGGGGCTTTGAGGAACCCTTTTTCATTAGTAGATATTTCAAATTTCAAATGATTTGGAGAATTCTTTCCTATTTCCATGGAACAGTTTACCCATTTTCATCGAAAGTCCGCTTGCCAACCCGTTAAACGTACCAGATGCCTTTCTTTTCTCAATTAAAGGGTTAAAAAATAGTGTCGTTCAGTTCAGCCGATAACAATTTAATTTCTCCTATTTTGTGGGTAAGAATTTAATTCTTGTAATTTAAATATTCCAATTCACAACCTCTTAGTTAGAGGTACATACTTGCTTTGACTTTCTCCATCAATTTATTGATCTACATATATAAAAAAATTGTATTATATCTTAATAATATTTTCCACTAAAAAACTAAGTTGTAACCTACTAAAAATTACTGACTAAACTATTATCTATTAAATTGTTTCAAGTTTAAAAATATAAATACTGAATAGCCTGCCTTATTACATTATTCTAACCCCAATAGCTTGATAATCGAATGCGGGTAAAAAATGTATTAGAAATTTAGAAGGCCTAACTTAGAAAATAAATGAAAAAAAGTATTAGAAGATTATGATTTTTTACTTATCGTCAAAATATATTTTTTAGTTCAAATATGGTGGGAATTGGTGACATGATAGTGTCACAACTTACCATATTGATTTTTACTTTAATTTAAGTTGTTTTTACCCACAAAAAGAAATGAATTTTTCTTTGAAGAGTGAGTAGATGTGAGCAATTTTACCATTCAAATACAAATCTCTCCCTCAATTCCTCTCATTTTATCTCGTTCAAAATACTCTCTTAATTTTTACTCATTTCTCTCACCCGATCCTCACCTATTTGGGAATTAAGAGGAGTGGCATGGGGAGAGAGAAGAAGAGAGAATTGGTATAATTATAAAGTTTGAATCAATGAGCAGGTTTGCCCGAGAGGTTAAGGGGGAAGACTTAAGATCTTCTGTACATAAGTGCGCGTGGGTTCGAACCCCACAGCCTGCAAAGAAAAAAATAAAGTTCTTTTTTCGGCCAAATTACAAAATACAACCTCATTAGTCATTAATTACTGAATTTAGGCATAGTACATAGTTTTCTGCATCTGCTGCTTTTGATTAAAAAGAGAGAGAACCTTTTAATTTCGTGAATCAAATGGCAAAACAAGTTTATAAATTATTTTAATAGAGAAAATGATTAAAATTAAAGGAAAAAAATAGAGAGAGAATTTTTCAAATTGTGCTGTAGATGAGAATAACCAACAAAAGTTCATTTATTGGGGGATGCATTTCTAACCCTGATGAGGTTGTTAAAATTATTAGTTTACATATCTCACTATATACTTCTTTTAATAGTAGTTATGTTTATAATTCTAAGAAGAGTCATTTTTAAAGAATAAATATGTATTTTCAAATATATTAAAAAGTTTACAATTTTATAAAAATAAAATATTAACTCATCATCATCAGGTTTTCCAGCACAAGCATGATAAAGTTACAACGTAAGTTCTCATCATTTTTCAGATTTCAATACAAAATCTAGATACATAACTTATCTTAAGAAAATTCCAAGAACATTCTGTAGGCATTTCGATCAGCAGAGTAGTAACCTTCTATCAAGCTATCAACTTGGAACCCAAGTTTGTTGTAGAGATTCATGGCCGCAGTTCTCAGAGGATCAACATGGAGACATATGCGTTGGACGTTTCTGGTTCTGCACTTGTCAATGGCCGCCTTCAGGAGTGCCTCTCCATGACCTTGTCTTCTACAGTTCTCCTTCACTGCGTTTTGTTCACAACCCACATGACAGGAAAGGAAACAATGGCTCTTGGTTAGCAAAAGGGATGCAGAAGTTTGGGATTAACGCACAATTAATCGGTCTTAAAACCTTTCCTACAAACCCCAGATGGAAAAGGGGGGGAATTCTCTTGCAGCTCTTTTATCAAACAGGTTATGTGCATTGAAGAGTTGCAAAATCGACACGACTGGCGGACTGGGTATAACACGGTAAGTTAACCAAATTGCAAGCTAATAGATCATTCTAAATCGGCACTCGTAGATCTTTCTTTTCTGACTTCCTACTGGCATTGAATACAACAAATATAATATCCGAAAAACTGTACGGGAAGAAAAAATCAGGGGAAAGAGGAAAGGAAACGAGGATAGAACCTGCGAGCTTAGCGATCGTAGCGCAGAGGGAAGAGGGCCAAGAATACATGACGTAGCCTATGACTTCTCCATCCAATTCGAGGAAAAGCAATCCAGAATTCTTTTTCCTGAGTTGTTCGTCGAAAAACCTAGCAAGAGACTCGTGTTTTGGGAATATCTTCTTCTCGAGCTTCACAATGTCTTCCACGACCTTAGCATAGTTGGTGGAGTTTCTTTGGAGTTCCACGATGTCCCCATCGTTCATTGATATTGGCTATGGCTTTTCTTCTTCCTCTCAGATTTGGCGTTTCAGAAGCTTTTCTTTGATTTCTCAAGTGCCTCCCGGCTCTCGATTTGCTATTCATAGTACTTATAAGTTATAACTATTTTTTATTTGAGCCCTTTTTTTTTCAAATTACTGTAAATTATACATTTAATCATAGAGGTGACTAAATATGATATATGTATTTACAGGAAGTTGAATATTATTTCGTCCTACCATTAAAATTGTTGAACTCAAATATTCATGCGTGTATATATGTAATTAGAATCGATTAGATAACTTATAATAACATTATCTGGGAAAGAAAAAAAAAAAAGCCTAAAATACAATTTTGCATAAATTTATTAGGATAGGTTTCGAAAAGGTAGAGCATAGGTGGCCATGAAAATCATGACGTGTCTAAGAAATATGTTGATTGAGGTAACTCAAGTCTAAAGTATGACAAGATTAGTCATCTTCTTCTTAAACTTACGGATCAGGCTCTCAAGTTACGGCGTATAATAAGATAATGACACGACAGATAATGAATAGATATTTAGAATAAAAGTTGAATCTACGTGGACAATAATATTTATAATGAATATTTTAAAAATGCATGGATAAAATTTGAAATTATAAGATACTGACTTGATAAGTAACGAGGGGAGGTCTGTAATACTTTCTTCCACGTGGCGACCGATCCTTCAACAACCTGTCTCTTGCAAGAGCTTATCTCAACCATGGTTTAGGCATCTCCATCTCCCGATATTCGGATCTACTCCCACTTCCCTGCACTCGGTTCTATCTTTACCAAATCAACCACTTTTATCAACTGCCGTTCATCACAAATCAAAGCCAACAGTCGATCAATCCAACGGCTCAGAACGGCCCACTTGCTTCGTTGCCATGCTCAATCTCAATCACGCGATACAATTAAATTATTAGTTGCTCATCTTCTTGATTGCTTGCGGTCCTCCTTTCAATTCAACTAATTTCCGGTTGTTGCCATTTTGCTTTTTGGGCAAATCTTCGCGAATATCGGTGAAGTTCTCGTTCTTGTTCTCGCCTGCTGGATTCTGGATTTGTAAGTTTTCTTTCACTTCCCTCCGTTTCTTTTCCGTTTTCCCTCCCTTTTTCAGAAGTAGCGACTTCGGTTCTCTTTTTGGTTTCACCCTCCCTCGTTCGGCCTCCGATTTGTGACCAATGGAGATGGCTATGGAAGATTCATATTCGCACGTTTTGCTTTCCATTGCTCGCGTTTCGCTCACCGAGGATGGAAGAACTCCGCGGTTTCCGATTAATCTATTACGAAGTACGCTGCGAATATGTATACCTACGCCCTTTTAAGTGTTATTTAGGGTTTTCTTAAATTTCTTAAGTATTGGTTGTGTTCTGGTCTGCTATTTCGAGGATTCTATTTCGATTTGGGGCATCTTTGTTGGATTTCCTGCAATTTGAAGATTGATTGTTCGTGTTATTGGACTCCTCGAAGTTTTCATGGTTGGTAAAATTCCTTCGCCCTTGTTGCCAAATCTTGCACAGCCCCCTGCTTTTGCAATTCAAGAAGTTTGAAGAATTATCGTGTTCGTTCTTTCGGATATTGAGATATTTCTGTTCGATTATCAGTGCGTTAGGGTTTCATATAGCTTTCATAAGCCGCTGTTTGTCTTCTTTCTGGCGTTGAAGAATATTACGAATTCGAGTGTGAAACTCAGACTCTAATCTCCTGGGCGAGAGTAATCGAATGGCAAGAAAGATGGAATTGGGATTCCCAAAATCTGCTTCGTACAGTCTTCGGGAACAAGCTGCTAGAACAATTCTACGCAATGTGAGGTCACAAGGGCATACATACGTCGAGCTACGAGAAGATGGAAAAAGGTTCATTTTCTTTTGCACTTTGTGTCTTGCACCATGTTATAGTGATTCAGTGCTCTTTAACCACCTGAAGGGTACTCTTCATACTGAAAGATTATCTGCTGCTAAGCTGACTCTTTTAGGACCAAATCCTTGGCCTTTTGATGATGGTGTTCTTTTCTTCCATAAGCCAGTTGAACGAGATAATCAGATTGGGATTTCAAATGACAATCATGAAAGGTTGTTGGAGTATCACAACAATGACAACAATCTTGCTATTGTCAGGTATGATGAAAATTCTAAAGGCAATGGCGACAGACATGTTGACTGTGATGGAAATATAAGGGATATGTCCTTCGAGAATTTGAATGATGGTGGAGACAGTTGTCCTTTGGTGATTCCTGGTGTACTGATTAGGGATGAAATTTCTGATATTAAAGTGATGGAGTTGGGCTATGGACAAATTGCAGCTAGGTTTACTGAGAAGGACGGGATCTTAACTGGAGTTGGCAGAATATGGTGCGAGTGGCTGGGTAAAGTAAATGTTGAGCTTGAGGGTAAGGTCAAAGTTCCTGGACATGATTATGCTATTGTTACTTTCACTTATAATGTAGATTTAGGTAGAAAGGGCTTGCTTGATGATGTGAAGTTATTGCTCTCATCTAGTCCTGGAGCTGAACTAGAAAATGATGAGAACACTAGAGTGAAAAGAAAGAAATCGTTCTCAGATCCTGGGGTTGTTAGTGAGTCTTTGAGCCATCAATATGATTCGTCGGGTGAAGATTCTTCAGCTTCAAATTGTGTCACTTCATCACTGTTGTTGGATAGATATGATGATCAAATTCTGAGTACAACAATCACGTTGAATAAGGCAGTAAGGCGTGAACTGAGAAGGCAACAGCGTTTAGTTGCAGAGCGGATGTGTGATATCTGTCAACAAAAGATACTCACCCATAAAGATGTAGCAACACTCGTGAACATGAAAACTGGAAGACTTGCCTGCAGTAGTCGAAATGTTAATGGGGTAATGTCAGTCCTTTCTTTTTCAACATTTATAATATGGTTGTTAATTTTGATTTACGAGTTGCATGTTGCCATGGATTCGGGCCCTCACTTATTCACAATAATCAATATTTTGGTGGTTTAGGTGTTTCATGTATTTCATACATCGTGCCTCATACATTGGATACTTCTATGTGAGTATGAGATAAGTGTGAAGGATCTAGGTGGTAAAAAAGCTAGACGAAGGTACAGGAGAAAGAACAGGACTAAGGGCAATAAATGCAGCAAGGACAGTGAAACGAGACAAATAAAAACTCAAATTGATTCTATATTCTGCCCAGCATGTCAGGGTACCGGTATAACTGTTGATGGAGATGACTTAGAGAAACCAACAATTCCTCTTTCGGAGGTATGTGCAACATGAAATATGCATTTGTTTAGATATCTTCTTATTCCTGTTGGTTCTCATGTTCATGATTCATGATCATTTGATTTAAAACTTTTAGGTTATAGCAATTTAACATGGTCATAACCATCATGGTGTGGCCTAGTGGTCAATAAGGGCCAATCTAAAAAGCAAAGGGCTTAGAGGAAATGGGTTCAAACCATGGTGGCCACTCTAGGATTTAATATCCTACGAGTTACCTTGGCAACCAAATATAGTAGGGTTAGGCGGTTGTCCCGTGAGATTAGTCTAAGTTTGCGCAAGTTGGCTCGGATACTCACAGATATCATAAAAAATAAAAATAAAAAAAATAAAAGCAATTTAACATGTTCATGATTTGATTTTTCAAACCATATTATTTTGACTTTACTTTGGGTCTTATATTTTCAAATGTTTCGTCATTGAAGTTCTATGGTGGATTTAACCATACCATATGAGAATGTATTTTAAGTCATTCATATCAAGTTTGGGGTTAGGTTTTGAATTGAGTGGCTTAAGATTTATGTTGAGTGCAACACTAAAATTTAATGGCAAACTCCAAAACAGATTTCTACGGAAGTTTATAGAGAACAAAACAAAACATTTGAATTTATGAAAACCAAAAGGAAAATTGTGTGAAAGCTCAAGAACCACAATTAAATATAAGCTTAAATGGTGATACATGAAAATTTTTTGTGTTAAATTATACTTTCATTCTATTTCCGAATTTATGAATTGATATAAATTTTATGAAGTTTTGCTATAGAATTATTCTCGTTAAAAAATTTACCTAATTGTTTTTTTTTTTAAACTTTTTTGCCTATAGGAAAGGAGTTAGGTGTTAACTTATTCTTATTTTATAAGTCACTAACTCAACTAAGTATTGTAGTAATATTTCTAGTTACGATACATTGTGTCATTAATAAGTATTTTAATTTATAATTAAAGTAAGAAAAGTTCTTAATTAAGATTCTTCAAACTTTTATACAGGATTTAGAGATATCATCTAGAGTAGCATTTTTCCTTGGCAAAGCAGTGTAAAATGCATTTCTATCTTTATTTATTATAATTAAAGGAGTTTGATTTGAGAGGATTGATTTATCATTTCTAAGCTCGTTGAAGATAGAATCATCTAGGAGAATATGGAGAACATGTTTTATGTAAAATAAAATGGAGTAAACCGAAGATTTTGCCAAAGGAAAGATACCTTCATATTCTGCTGTTTAACAACGATCCCTTTCTGTTCGGGTATAGATATTCAAATATAAAATAAAGGTGAGTGATGCCCGAAGAGCGTGGATGAAAAGTCCTGAGGTTCTGCAGAATTGTTCGACAGGTTTCCATTTCCCTTATCAATCTGAAGAAACTATACAGGTAACATTCTACATAAAAACTTCTCCCATCTCATCATATCGTATCTTAAATTTTAATTACTTGATTGCAGGAAAATGTGAAGCCTCTCAAGCTGCTGCATTTTTATGGAGCTTTTGTATAGAACTACCTTCAAATTCGAGGTTGGAAGAGTAGGCTTCAAGCATGCGCCGAGGCGTACAGTTGATCATACTTTTCTCAATAGGTAGGTACTAGACGAACTTTTGAACATTCTTAGTCATTGTAAATGAATTGTCCTCAAGTCTCGTAAATAATATGAGGGGCATGAAGGATTATCTTCATATAGATTGGTCCTCATCCTTAACCAGTTCCGCCTTCGTGAGTTAAACATTGTATGTACCATGTTGGTCAGACACAGTTGTGAACTCTTGCGCACATATGTGTCAATATTACTTTATCACATTTCACAGTTGCAGTTTTATGGGATCCCCTTTAAGAATTTGATAACATAACAATAACACACGTGATCAAATCTGGCTTGCTAAAGTAGGCTTGGTCTTCCCAAGAATTATATGATTCCACGTCGGGTACTTCTTCTTATCCATGATTTGATATTAATAATGTTGCAGTGATGGAGAGGTGAATCTAAGCATAGTTTAGTATAGACAAGACGTTGAATACCATCACAAAGTTCAATGGTTCAATTTTTTTATTTGTCCATCATAGTGTCAGAGGCACCTGACCGTGGGGCCGACACACTACTTTTCACCTAAAACTAACAGTAAGTTTGGAGAGGCATCCAATCAAATGTCTGTTCTACTCAAAATGTTAAGAAGGGACCATGGGCTTGATTTTGCCTAATTGAATGGGCACAGTTTCATATGCTTGGAAAGTTTGATGTCTAGATTAGAAAAAGAGAGAGCATCAGAATTCATGTTCATCGCCACTTTTGAAGAAAACAATATGGGCAATCAGGTCCTTATCTCTTTTCCTACAAAGAGGTAACCCAATATCATTCTGTCTCATATCCTGATTGGTAACCATGGTTCTGTATCTTTCGTTCAAGAACCGAACCGATTGCCCCAACTTCAATAAAATCCATATATATTCACCTCTATTATCTTATAGAGAGTTTACACTTTAAATTTATGTTTGTTTTACTCTGAATCTGAGACATTTCAATAGAGCTTATTCGCGTCTACTGTCTTATGCCACCTCCATAATTGTCATTCCTTTTAATACTATGAGATATTATATCTTGTTGGTAATATTGACTCCCCACTTAAAAATAAGGCAAAAGGTAACCATGGGCGTATAGAAAAAAGAGTTGTTTGAAACTTCAAATATGGTGGCTTTAACCACCTTGTGCAAAAAGCTATAAATTTCCTCATAATAGGAACAAATCGCACCCATCGCTCGGGTTTACTGTGATACAAACATAATCCCATGCTAGTTAGAAAAATTTTACGACTCGGAGTTAATAAAGGTTGGATTCAGCTTGCTTAGGAGTGTTGTGAGCACCAAAAATGGTGAGAAGCCGTGTTATGTCCAACTTGGGTAGAAATGCAACACCTTGCTATTGCTTGGAAAGTGTCCAAAACCAAACTAATATGAGAAGCCGAGCCATTCACGGAAGTATTCTGTTCTTTTGGAAGAAAACCTTATTTAATGGATCAAGATGCTTCCTTCTTTTTTCTTCTCTGTTTTATATTGAAATGGTTCAAGTTTGGATAAGCATGAAACATAGTGGTCCCAATTTGGATTTTCTATTCTTTTCATCAAGCTCAAAAAAAAAAAAGAAGTGAACTTTCTCTCTCTGTTTACGGTAGATCCCTATGATAATGTCCAATTAAAAAATATTTGTGTTGATAATGGGAAACTAAAAGAATTATTATTATGGTGAATCCGAATCTGAAGCTTCCACGAAACAAGTTCAAGGAAAGTTGTACCAATTTTTTTACACTAAGCTCATAATTACATGTTATATGTATAATATCTATACAGCTAGCTGAGCTGAACCCTCGTGGTTCATTAAATTGTACCTATGATCTTCACTGGATTATCCAATCCAATGGCTAGAAATGATCTAAAGAGAGTTTCTTAGAATGATAGAAAACACAGAACTAAGCAACAAAAGAAGAAGAAACAGATTCTGCTCAGCGACTCATCAGCCTGCATCATGTGCCTCCTCAGCCTTGCACTACTGTTGCTCACATGACCATATGAATTTGGATAGGTATGTAGGCTTGTGGTAGTGTTTCCGAATGCTCTTGCGTAAATTGCTTCGCCGAATGTTCCGATCACTGGATGGATAATGTTTGTTGTAATACTGCTCGAGCCAAGCATCGACGAAGTTATGTAGTCTTGTGTAGTTCGAGGGTGGTATGAGTGTGCGTGAGGAAGATAATAGTTGTGGGGATGAAGTTGGGGGCTTGGAGATGCTGGTGCCTCGGCTGCCCCACAGGCAGGCCCGAGAGGCCTTCGCGGGATGGCTGGTCCTAGTTGTGATGCCTTGGTTTCGGAGGGATTTGTGGTCTGAAATCTGCCGTAAAGCGGGACGAGACTGGCGTGGGAGACCTCGGCCTTGCAAACGGGACAACAATTTTCCTGCGGTTGGCATTGCTGCTGCGCAGATAAGTTCTTGTAATGGAGCCATTTGTAAATGCAGGGCCAACAGAAGAGGTGACCACAGAGTGTTACAACTGGGTCTTGAACTGAGTCTAGGCATATGTTGCAGTCAAAGCCATGGGAAGCTCCACCATCAGCATCTGAGACACATGTTTGGTTATCTAAACAGAATTTATCTTCTCCAAATGAATTGCTTCGCATCACAGTCTCTTCAAGGTACTGCTGCTCCATGGCCAGGTTTATGTTTCACCGCGGTTTTCTTTTTCCTCTGATGCCTCAATCTGAGAAACGTGTCGAAAAGCAAGGTCAGACCAACGAGAAAACAGCTAAATTCTAAGAGAAGATGGGTGAAACTAACAGAACTTGATCAGAAAACCATAGTGAACGGCTTCTGCTTGTAAATACAAGGAATAAGGATGCCCAGAAGCAGACAAAAACAAAAAGGCAATATGGATAAGATTTAGTCACACTGTACTAGGAGTTCACCCATACACAAAAATATCACTTCGAACACTCAAAAGATAGCTGATGAAGCAACCAAACTAATCATCCTAATCCACTGGTTCGAATATATTATCCATACATATCTGGGTCCCAGAATGGACAAGAATATGGGCAGGGCATCTCATAGATTATTCATTATTGTATTATTTTTTATGCCCAGTTCTTCAAAATTCTTTTCTGAAACCTCATAGTGGAGATTGGTGTGAATGATTTTGACGTTTCAATATCAGAACATGCTGATCATGAAAGACCCAGCTTCGATTTTTAAAATTATAATTTTCGAAAACCTTTCTGGAATCTGGATGAGAGATTCAAGTAATGGAGTTTCATGAATAAATCTCCCAGAACTGCCCTAAATTATGTTCTGCTACATCAATGGTTAAAAATTCCAGTTTACTATTGAACATGATGGGAGATGAAGATTCAGAATCTTCTGCGTTCATAAGCTATCTTTTGAAGCAGATAAACTCACGGGCAACTAAACCACTTGAAAATGAAAAGATCAATCAATCTTTATATACACAAATAAATTCGGATCCGTTATTTGCAAACCAGATCCGCGAAGCATAACTATGCATAGAAGGAACCAAAAAACAAGATGAAGAACCATAATCCCAACAATTTAACAACCAAAAGCAATACACAAGCGAATCCAAGCCCAAATTGTAATCGAAATCAAAGGTTTTCTACAAGACCATCCCGAATCGATATAACCTAACCAATCTTCAATTTTTCAGAGAGTTGGAAATCACAGTAAAGTTTTGATTCAAAAAAGCTAACCGGAACACCCTGAAAACAAAAATTTGGTGATCGGCGTATTCCCTTAAGCAGGAATGTCGAGTGAAGCCACCCCACGCTCCACAGAACATTCATTCCTCAAAAACAGAGCATGAAATTCGTTTTCTGCAGCGCAAATGAAACAAATAAAACCCAACAAAATTCATCCACGGCAACGAGGGGGGGAAGTCCGAAGCAACGAAAAAAACCCAAAACGAAGAATCCGATTACACATATGGTTACGAAGAAACGAGGCTAAATTCAGGACTGGTAAATCCCCACCTCCATTGGCAACAGCAGATCCAAAAAAAAAAAAAAACCTTCTTACACACAGAAACAAACATATCCTCGTCGAAGAGCAATACAGAGAGAGGGAAACAAAACGTACCAAAACTTAGTAGGAGACGGAGAAGTATCGGCTTGTGAAGAAGAAGCTTAAGCTTGACGAATGGCGTATAGATTAGAAGAGTGGTAGAGAGCAAAAATGGGTGTGTGGATTTGAAGGGTGTGATGTTGAGACATCAGGCGTTTATATAAAGAGCCGAAGCAAAAGGGAATTAGGAATCGAAGATCAGATCATGGGTGTGGTGGAAACACGATGCTGCATTTCACTTTTGAAGATCAAAATAAAAAAAAATCTTAACTAATTTTAAATTTTGATTAAGATTTATAACCATATTTTCAATTTAACGTGATTTATTTTGATTTTGGAGCTAAATATGTTTTAATTCCTAATAAAAGGAATGGTATAAATAATGGACTGTCTTGTTTTGGGTAGAATTTAAATTTTAAAGTAGATGGAAGGCAAGTAAATCATCATCGATGATTCATTGGTCCAAAAGAATTAGGGTTAATTGGGAAAATTCATAGTCCTCCCGTAGTAGGGAGAACTTCCATACTACTTCAAGTCATGTATAAAAGAGTACTATTATTATTTAAATAAAAATATATTTAGTTTTTATGTGGGGTCACGGGTAAAATTGATCAACCAGGATCCCACATTCTCTCTTAAATTAATGGTACATTAGCTCTCTTATTAAATATTTTTAGACTTGATTATTTATTTTCACTTTTCTAATTTATTTATCTCTTTATTGTTATTTACATATTCATTTACTTCTCTCATCTTCTATTTTTATTTTTTGAATTTTTCTCCATTCAAACTAAATTTCTTGTTTCTTTTTCTTAAGGATTTACATTTCACCATTTAAATTATGTATGACTTTTCTATTTATTTTTTATTTTCTTGTTATTTATTATTATTTTTTCTATAACATTCTAATCATTTTTATATATATTTTTATTTTTTTATTGAATCCATAAAAATATTTGGATGTATTCATCCTCACACGAAAAAGTAAATCTTTAAGTATGTTTTTTTAATTCTTTACATTTTTTCTAAATTCATCATTTTTTGTGAATTTTGATTATTTGATTATAAATACACTTTCTTTTTTGTCTTTTGGTACAAATATTGTTGAATATTAGGTTAATTGAATGTTTGTTTCAAATCAATGGCTAGTTTAGAACCTATAATTCAACAATATAAAATTTTCAAATACATTCATGACATAAAAATAGAAGATGAGAGAAGTAAATGATGATGTAAATAACAATAAAGAGATAAATAAATTAGAAAAGTGAAAATAAATAATCACATCTAAAATATGTAATTAGAGAGTACAATTAATTTAAGAGAGAGAAGTTGGGATCCTGATTGATCAATTTTGTCCGTGGACCCCACACAAAAACTAAAAATATTTTCATATAAAATATTTAATTAGAGAGAGAATGTATGGTTACTTTAAAAGAGAGAAGGTGAGATCCTGATTGATTAATTTTGTTCGTGGACCCAACATAAAAATTAAAAATATTTTTATTTAAATAATAATAGAACACCTTTAGGCACAATTTGAATTGAAAGAATATGGAAGTTCTCCCGCACACGAGAGGACTAGAAATTTTCCGGATTAATTGAGAGGAAAGGAATTTGTTACCTTTGATAGCACAAACACTCACAGAGAAAAAGTATATAGAAGGCAAGTAGGTCTAAAATATTTTTGAGATTCCCAATATAGCAAGATAATAAAATTTATTGATTTTCGTAATTTTTGGTTAATACATATTCTATATTTTGTAATTTATAACATTTTGGTGTTTCTTTTAAAAGGAAATTTTGGTGTTTATACTTTTACGTGTAAGAATTTAATTCTTATACCATTAAAAAAGAAATTATTAAATTTATTTGAGTTAAACTTTCATTGAAATTTTTATTGGAAAACAATCCATCATGAAAGATGGATAGATGAATGAAGTCCAGGGACCTCCTCTATGATCTGAAATTAGATGTGGTTTAATTATGTGTTTGTTTATATATAATAATAATAAATATATCTCAGTTGCAAAAGACTTTTTAATATCAAATACGCAGTTGTTGCATTTTTTTTAAGTAACATATACTAAATTACTAGGAAGGAAAAAAAAAAGAAGAGAACTACAAGAATCAATCCATTAGTTGCATTACTATAATTATTAATTACAATAAATGGTGTATTAAAAAATTACAATAAATGAATCATGGTCAACCATTTGGGATTAATTTTGAAACTACACAAGTCCACAAGAATTTAAATTGTTTTTTTAGTGGTGGATAAAACTGATTCTTTATTAATTTAAATAGGGTCATTTCTTCAATTAAGGTGATTTACATGACTATTTATTAAAAAAAAAAAGTATAAAAATTATTATTTTATCTCTATCTCATCAATTTTTTTAAAAAATTAATAGAAATTAATATGTATGTATATTAATTGTCTGTATTTTAGACATTTTGTTCCACGCAAATTTATTTTAACACAATTTTTTAATAACAAATTGGCTTTTTATGTTTTATCAAATAATTTAATGTAAAAAATGTAATTTGGATTATAAAAAATATTAGAATGATTATTCTTTTTTAAATTAAATACCAACAGAAGAGTATAATTAACTTGGTGGTTATAGTTAAATCACATCAATTTAATATTAATTTATCAAACACTACGATTTTTTTTTTTAGTTGAAATTCGTCAAAGCCTAGTTTACTCCATACTATGGTCGATTCTATTAAAAGTCACCGTAATTATTTAACAAGTTACATAATCTCAAACTAAACCTAAAAATATGTCTATCATTCAAATTTATAAAATAATATATATTTTGATAGTTATTTAAATATATGTACGTGGTTGTGTAAAACAAGGTTTTAAATATCGATGTCGATGGAAATGTCGAGGTCTCAATTTTATGGAAATATTGATAAAATGTCAATGAATTTTTTTCCTGTAAAAGTTATAGAAATTAAAAGATTATAAAAAATATTTAAATTAACAAATAAATATTTTCCAATTTCTAAATAAGGTAAAAATAATTAATATTAATATTATGTATATATTAGTGACATTTTGTTATATTTTTCATATTTTGTCGATTTTTGTATAGTAGGATAGAAATGTCGATTTATCCCTCATGTCGATGTCGAACTCATGGACACATGAATATGTCGATGAAAATATCGACGTGTCGACGAACATTTAGAACCATAATGTAACTGATATTTAAATATAACTCTAATATAATTCAAAATATATATCTCAAATTAAAATGTCATAGGTTTGGATGCGAACCATATATTTTCCTGCTAAAGAAACATTGTTTAAATGATCAAAATTGAAAAGTCAACCTAACATTGCATTTAATGCAACCGACCGATAAAACAATGACTTTTTTCTTTTTCTTTGTTTAGTTAAATTACAATGTTCCTCATACTTTAAGTTTAATTACAAATAAATTTATATGGTTAGGTTAAATCTCAACGTCTTAAATTGTATTGTATTCATTTGGAGAATCTACTTTTTTTTTATTCAATTTAAATCATAATACCTTCAACTAACCAACACGGTTACTAAAATAGAAAATTGTTATAGGAAAGAAATTATCAATATGGTAATAGTAGAGATGATTTATGAAATTTAGCTAAATCATCCCGATCAAATATTAACTTTCAAAATTATAGGGACTAAATTAAAATTAAATTCAAATTATAAGGATCGAATCCAAATTAAACTCAAACTTTATAGACTAAATTGGAATTTTTAAAACCACATATTCAAACTTTGTACAAATCAATCAATAGAGATCAAATTGGTAATTTAATCCCTTCGATTTTTTTTAATCTGACACTTTAAATTTATTAATTTATTTAATTTTTAGTTGGGTGAGGGTGGAAACACTTAATTTAGTTGAATTGATCCTTGAATCTGACTCACTTTATGTCATCTAGCAGATTGACGGGAGAGTGAGAATGTCAATGAAGCTAGCCTCCTTTGATGAGGTCTCTTTTGTGTATGTACCACGAAAGGCCAACTCCTAATTTGCCCATAGTTTAACCTATGAAGCTGTTTTTCCTAAACCGTATCCATGTTTTGATTTCCTCATATCCTCACTTGGCTCGTGCAAGACGTTAGTAGAGACTTTAGCTTTCACGTGACCCAAGTGGCATCTTTACCTTTTAATAAAAATTTTTCCTTATCTCAAAATAATAATAATAATAATGATGAACATCAGACTAAGATGTAGAAAAAATTTGACACTCTTAGATATATGTGACATTTCTATTATAAAAACAAAATAGAAATAATTAGAGAAAACTTACATTTTTAAATATAAACAATGACATCATATACATTTAAATTTAAATCAAATTAACGGACGTATTTGTCCTTCTAATGTAATTTTAGCTCTCTACAACAGGAGTAGTAGAGATAACATAGTTTAATCATCTTTTTATAATTAACATGATAGCATGAAATATTTGTTAGTTTATCCTACCAAATATATGTTGAGGGACATATTTGAAAAAAGTTTTTAAAAACTGTAACTTTTTTTTAGTACAGGTTAGGGAAGGGATTCGAACTCACACGT